TTGATGGCCTTTGGAAAAGTGTTCAGGACGAGTGGTGCAGAATCACTCTGAAAATGGTGTCAAATGTCAAGACTGGTTGGAAAAAGCGACTGAGGCTCGTTAGATAAACTAAAGGGCTTCACACTGAACCAATTACCAAACTTCACAAACGAATAATAAAGCCGCAATAAATTCAGGCAAAGTGGCTCCTTCTTCTGTCCCACCCCTCTGTAACTACCCATATCCGAAAACCGGAAGTCGATATCTCGACTAGTTCAAAAATGAGGACAAAAAATCGAGAACAACTCGCAAAAAACATTTGCCACTACTACGAAAAAGTGTGCGAGCGCGTCCGGATAATGGTTTATAGCCACTTCGAAAGAGAAAAAATTCATAATGGTGCAATTTTCAGAGTTTTAGATATGTATGAGGAGAGCAGGAATGCTGAATTCACAAAATTAAAAAATGGTCCTGCTCGTGTAGCGACCCCCAAAGTGATGCATAGGTTTCATAAAGAATAAAAAAATAGCCTTTGGATATCAGATGGTAATTTGGGCCACAAATTGAAAATAGCAAAATTGTGTTTACATGACATTAAAGCCACGAAGTTGGGGGTCAAATCCTATAAGGCAACACCTGCACCAAAGTACAACCAAGGTCAGCAAAAAAGAGCAAAGCCCAGCTCTCGGCAGATTGCTTAAAAACGAGTCAAGCAAAACATGCCCATGATTCTGGTAATGGATGATGAGACCAAGTGCTCGATTGATCCAGATGAAGTCCCTGGGAGGAAGTACTACTCATGTACTAATAAGAAAACGTTTAAAGATTCCTTCAAGTACACGCTGAAGTCAAAATTTCCCACAGAGCACATAATCGGGCTAGCATTGGACTCATTGGGGGACGTCTCAAAGCCGTTCGTGACCACAGCCACCATGACCTCGGAGAGATATCTGAACGATTGTGTAAAGAAGATCTTGATCCCCTTTATCAATAATCGTAATGTACTTTTCTGACCGGACACAGCAACCTTTCATTCTTCAAAAGTTGTTCTGGACTACCAGTGGTCGAAAAAAATCGATTTTGCTGCAAAAAAGGAATATGCTCCCCACGTCCCTCGGGCAAGACCAATTGAACGATTTTGGGCATTATGCAAGAGATAATATAGTCGTCGAACAAAACCAGTCAAAAACTTGAGAGAATTCCGTCAGATTTTGTCACGCAACTCAAAAGAAGTAGCGAGAAAGAGTGGCAAAGCACTTCTGGGGACCGCGAGACAACAAATTCGCCAGATAGGAAGGATGGAGGTATTTGGACCGTACGAAGCAAAAAATTGGACTCTAAGGACCTTGTTTATAACCCCTGAAAATTTATTTGAAATTAATTAAGTTTTCCGGATTTTACAGGCATTTTTGAAAAGTTTCTTTCCTAACCGACCATACTATATTTAAACGATATGTGTCATCGGTATCAAGTTGATACTATCAACTAGCTAATGAGGTGTGTATTTTGGACTACATTTCTAAACCGTGTCGCTTAGTAATGTGTTTGCAAATTCGTGTCAGTATTTGCATTTAGATACATATCTATGTTTTTAATGAGCGTACTCACGACGTCTTACACATTTAGCATGCAACTCATTTAGGAAATTTTCACGTCAATGCCCAAGCAAAAGTCGAAGTATAAAAAAAGTGTGACATGGGGGATTCGCAAAAAACTATTATTTCACAAACCTGTACAATCAGTTCTGTTTTAATTAAGTTTCCATAGATTCCAGGGTAAAACATTATTAAGCGAATACTTTGTTCGTCTATCCGTCTGTCTGTAAGAAAGATAACGGGCAAAACGGATCGAGATAAATAATCGAGATCGGGGAAAATAATTACCATGAAATTGCAACCTTTTGTGTAACCAGTAGAAACAGAAACAGTACCTGGAAATATATGTATGGAAATATATGTACGTATACCTAAATATAAATAACAGTAGCTGGGTGAGTAAGTCACAGAGCGACAAAAGTTCACATTTTTCGCTATGAATTACCTAAAACTAAGCATAATTACTCTCGGGTGGAATATTTACCTTTAACAAGAACGTACTATCCCATCTAATCCAAAATTGTAATACTTGGATATGTATATGTAAAACAGGGCAAAAATGGAGAGCACGATCTTCTTATGTAATAAATGACAACGTTGTGTGTCAATGTAAATAAGTATTATCAAAGTTTGAGTATCTTCTTCATTTTTTAGACAGAAATGACGTTTGCGCTGCGAGAGGAATGCATTAATTACATTGACGAAGTTTCGTTCACAAAATTTTGCTCACTTTCTTTAATGGTGCCAACTTGGCGTGAATGTTGTGTAATTATTATTCCCGTCTTCAATTTTATTTTACACCTTTGGAAATTTCAGAATGAATTTATTGTTATCACAAGTTACTTGCAATTATTTTAAAATGTGGCAAATATATTTTTCCTTTAGTACAGTCTTTAGATGCAATTGTCGAGTACGGAAATGTTTCGTATGTAGCTTGTTTTTGGAAAAGTATAATACATACTTCGGTCTCGCAGGCTTGACTGACCTACACGAACTTTGGAGTTGTACATACTGATCCGCAATTACTTTTTGAATAAGGGAAAATTAGAATGGTTTTTTACGATTTTTAAACTGCCAATATGTATGTATGTAGCTGACTGCCAGTCTGGATAAATTAACTAAATATGTCGTTGCTACATGGTCCTGTGCCCTGTTTTTCACAAACTGATATACCGTAAATACCCTATTTATAGTCGGGTCTTGAGCCCAAGTTTTTAAAGTTTAATAACCATGTTTCTAATTATGGCATTCGTTTTAGGCCTATTTTTAAATGCTTCAAGTTATGAATGACTGAAAAATAAATTAGCCAGGTCTCCAATTATGCCGGCTTTTAATTGTACCCGGATTTGTACCGTGTTCAGACCCGGCTGCAAATGGAGTATCTACGGTATTGCATCGCTTTGGAGGTTATATTATTATCCAGAAAATTGCAACTAATTCTGGAATCAGTGTTAAATATTAAGTTTTAAGCGCGTATATATGTCAGGAGACTTACTTAAATCGCCAAAAATGGTCATTGTCAGATAGCCAAAACTGAGGTGAATGGCGATTTTGGGCATTATAAATTTAGATGAAATGCAGCAAAAGCCTTAGTAAAAACTCTGACTATGCATTTTATATTTTTCATTAACTACTTTAACAACTTTAAAGCAAGGAAAAGTATTATAAAGTTGCATGTGCATAAGTACAGTGCCAATATGTTTGTCAATTCAGGAACAATGTCTGTGGCAGAACTTTGTGTGTCGGTAAAATTAAAGTTTTAGTGTGATTAGACTGATTTACAGGGGTGGGCAGAATACTTTCGTTGTAAGATACAAGATGATACTTTCTTATGTAGATAATATACATGAAAGACACCGGATATAAAATACATCTTGTTCAAGTACATATACAGCATACAAGATACTTTGCTTAAAAATTAGTAAGTAGTCAAGATGCAAGATATGTACATAATATGTATCTTAAGATATCTACTAAATATTATAGTACTATCTTTTTATGTTGGTATTCATATTCAATTAAAAAGTAATATTGAACAATTTAAATACAGAAACTCTATTCAGTACAAAATGTGAAATTCGTTCCGTAATCACTTTAAAAATTTTATAGCAAGTGTCCTTATTTCAAAAAATTTGGAAATTTGGAAAAACCAGGTCTAAATATACCTAAATAAAATACTTATGTATACCTTTGCGACATTCATAATATTTTTACAGCATTTCTGCTCAACGTATAATTTCCATTCATGTAATACATATCTATTTTAAATAAGCATAAGTATGTACATATCATGTAAATACGCAACATATGTATGTGTTAAATAGTATCTACATAAATACTGTATTGGGCGTAGCAAATATTTATAGTATTTATAAAATAATACAATATGTATGTATATGTACACATGAATGGGTTTGGATATGTACATATTATCACAATTTATCACATCATAAAAATTAAGTGGATTATCTTACAAATTACGAGTAGGTATTAGTTAAACATGCAGAAAAGGAAGATAAATTGCATTAAAAATCTATATTAATGTTTGTTTTATTTTTCGAGATTTTGTATATGGCATTCTCTGATCAGGCGACGAAAATAGGTACAAGTTTAAAATACTATCTTGTATCTTCTATCTAACTTTTGTCCTGCCAAAATACATATCTTGCCCACCCCTGTTGATTTAGGATCACTTTGTGTGTACCTACACATCGCCCTTTGTACACTCAAACACTATATTGAGCTAACGAAAAATGGCAGATTGAAATTTGAAATATTGAAAACAGCGACTAATGGCATTTTCCAAATTGCAATTCAATTGTTCATGGCTACCCCAGAATGCAATAATCCTGACCCAATAGTTTAGCTTGAGCAATTCTCCAGAATTAAAGAGGATATGTTGGTACGTGCATCGCCCAGAAACATCCGAAATTTCTCCACTAATTATATTTAAAACCCAAATAATTAAACTTTAATTTAATTTTCAGGCTTTATATCTTTTAAATATTTTAGACTTTCTTAATTTTGGTATCGAAGAAAGTCTGTTGCAAAATTTAACTACTTAATTTGAATAGTTACATTAGGATTTTTTTCGATTAATTCTAACTTAGCCAGATCAGTATTTCGCCTGCTATTCCTGTGTAATTTCACTTAGGTATGTTGCATTTTATTCCAAAATTACAATTAGCAGGTCAATAACTATGAATTCTATGATGGTGACGGCGCCTTTAAAATATGCCGAAATAAATTACGCATACATTGCTGACAATGGCATGCAATCACACTAGCCTGTAACTGGTACTTGGAATTAGCAGGGAAATTTTTATTTGTTTCATTAGTTTAAAGCTTGTCAACATTCATCTACATGCATACAAAATAAATAAATTTTTAAACATATTTTAAAATCGTAACAAAATTAAGATGGCAACCAAGCAGCTATTTTCAGAATATTTTTTCTAACTTATTTTGCCTCTGCCATAATCAGATTTATGACTTGTTCCACACAAAGACTTCCAATGACCATGGGCGTACTTTTTTCGAAATAGTTGGTCGCACCGACCCGCACTTTCAGCGGGGCGCAACTTTTCAACCATCGCTTCGACAACTTCAAATTCTTGCTCTTTCCGATCGAATAGCGCCAATCATAAAGTAAATTTAACGAAGCTTCATGCGCATCGCCGGCACTTTTGAATTCTGTGAGGAGGCAAATCATCCCGTTGAGGGCAAGTTGAGCGTGGATCGTGGATAGGGCGAAGGACACCCGCCCAAAGTAGCGGAGCAACGTGTACCAGCCCAAGATGAGGATGGACGTCCAGGAGCATATCATGGCGGGTGTGATGACATGTGACATGCAGTAGTTCATTAGCGTTCCGTACACTTGATAGCGGCGATAGTAGTTAAGCGTCACCTCGCCGAAGGAGGAGACCTTGGTTCTGAAAAATTTTTAAAGGGGTTTTCACATTAAAGTTCGAAATTCTGCGCCAAAGTTGATAATATGTAATTGATACAAATTTTGAATTTACTTTGCCGCCCTGACCATAAATGTCTTTAAGGAGAGTGCCAGATAAAACATGGTTGCCAAATTCCCCAAGGTTCCAACAGAGATGATCTGATACCTAAATATATAATAAATAAAATGAAATGTGTTCGCCATCTGGCGCAACTTCTACTACGTACGTTTGGATAACATAGACGTATGAAATCAATTCATAAATAAACGGGGAAAAATAAAAAAATATCCAAGTAAATACCAGAAAAAGGTCTCGATGACGCCAGAAGTGAAGATAATTCTGTGCTCCAGGTCAGTCGATGGGACCCACGTGGTCGAATTGCAGGGGAGGAATTGCCACGAAATAAAGGCGGGTTCACACGGGTGTAACATCGAGAACATCCCGGCCGCCATGGGGACTGAGAATACGCAGGAATAAGCCGAGTACGTGTAAACTTGCCACGCCTTGCCGAAAAATCCTTTCGTGTAGACGGTATTCAAACCTGAAAAAAGATGGAGCTGTTTTAAATGTCGAAAATTTCTAACAAAGCTCGGACGTATGAAATACCAATATCTAACTGGAAGGGGAAACAAAACTCTATGGGGAAACAATCCTCATGCTATATGAGTTGTCGGTCACTAGATCCCACGAGAAACTTGCTTATGCAAGTAGCCATGTATGTATACAAGCGTAGCTTGTTCAGTCATCCATGCCCATGGTTCGGACGGCATTAAGATTATTACGGTATTCCTCGTAAGTTGAGACATGGGGAGTGATGCGAACCCGGGTTCACTCACCATGTCTCACCTTACGAGAAATAGAAACCATGCACCGTAAGAATGTTGGCTGGACTACCTAAGCTTAGAGGAATACCGTAATATCAACCTACATACAGAAAAATACTAAGGTGCAATTGGAAAATGCGTTAGGTAGGTGAGAAATCTATGACACAACAACGCATCATCATAGCACCTTAGCCTTAAGACACCCTACGACACGTTAAACAGCAAGCGGGATTCAAACCAGAAAAATATTAAATTTGCAAATTGGGGAGATGTGAGAACATATAATATACAAGAACATAGGAGATCAGTAGCCAAAAGACGATAGAATTCCATAGGATGGCTTCGTGGCCCGATAGTCGTGATGTTCGGGCTAGACCGAAAGGTTCTAGCTTCGATGCCGGCCGGTAGCATGCATACTTTTTGGACATGTCTTATACCAAACTTTACCGGCGTAGATCGCCGTTAATTCCTACAGAGAAACAAATCCGTTTCTTTGGCTAGGTCATAGTAAATTAAAAGTCGGGAGGTTTGGGATTCAAAAGTTCACACATAGCGCATTATGCATCACAAATCTTTTCACTATTATTGCATCCAACTTTTAATCCTTATAATTTTCTTACAATTCTCACCCTCTTTTTCCGCCTCCCTCTCCAACTTATGCGCCTCGTTCATCATGTCCACCGTCTCTTTCGACTTCCTCGTCAACTCGAATCGAAAAAGGATCGTGCACAAGATAGGACCCAGCCACCCGTAATCCAGCAGCTTGTCCGACATGACATATTCCCCCGAAGGCCCCACCTGCAGCCCCGCCATCCTCAACCCAAACCCAACCAGAAAATGGACCGTCCTCCCCAAATGAAACAGGTACAGACATTTAGTCACAGTTCGTCTCAACTTGCCCCGCACTTCGACAACCTTTTCCTCCTCCCAGGAAATTTTGAATGGAACGATGCAAAACGCGCAGAGCACTTCAAGCGTTAGCAAATTCATTCGATACGCTTTTGTCAGTAACGCGTTTTTTAAGCGAAACTGGACGTGCTCCTTGAAGAAATCCATTTTCTTCCTTTTCTGTTTAATAAAATGCAGTGAAAGTCAATCTTCCACTTTCACTTCTATGTGAAGTTCGACCTTCCGTCTGATGAGGTAAGATGTTCTTCCCAACGGTAAATATTCCACTCTAGAGTAATTAAATTACGTTACATAAATAACATAATTAAATACGTACGTAAATGTGTACATACCTACGAATTTCAGCATTACGACATTAAATATTTCAAGCAAGTACGTATATAATAGCCCGTACGTAACGTATAATAAGCAAATTGGCATAATTTAATATTTCCCTGCTTAGACAACTCATACTATTAAGCATACTGAATATTGAAATTATGTACTTAGTCTACATATTTGTTAGGTGACGAAAATTACTCGAATAGTTCACCTAGAAATTTTAAGATTGGTCAACAATTAAGTATCTGACACTTGGAAATTTCCGCGTTATAAGTTTGTACAGCCCATTTATCTGTACCTAATTAAGAAAATAATTAATTGAAACGGTGCGACGGGTCAATCATCGGATAAGAACCTGGCCTCCTCAGACATACGTACATAATTACATAATTTGTTGATATATATTGACATGTGTGCTATTTACTTTGTTAAAGTGTAAGTAATTGCTGGGCTGACGTACATGAGAGAAAGGGAAGTAAATTAAATCCCAAAGACGGGGTGTATTTAGAAGGGAAAGTTAAGACGTGAATAGTAATTACTTACTCAGCATTCACGCCAAGTAGTTGGCCTCATTAAAGAAAGCGAAAACAATTTGTGAACGAAGTTGCGTCACTGTTACATGTGCATTCCTGTCGCAGTATACATAAATGTCATCACATTTTTGTCGGAAAAATGAACACCATACTTTAAACTTTGATCATATCTATATGCACACTTGTTCCATTGTTTTCAGGAGTCAGATTTATGCAAATGAGGTGACCTGCAACTACAATTCTACAAAATATATGCACATATGTAAGCATGTACATATGTACGTATGTGTATATTTAAGTATCTATACTAAATCCGGCTTGATGTTAAATAATTTTAGTGGAGAATCTCCACCCTCGTCTGGTGACCAACGGTAGTTTAATTATATGGGTAAGAAATATGAAAATACATCTGTTTAAAATCATAAGACAAGGGTGTCATTGATACCCTTGTACTATGTATCTACATACATATGTGTGTAAAATTTACTAATATTAAGTAAAATATTTGTAGATGATGAGTCATCATTGATGACACAAGAATTGGGTAAAAGTTATCCATCTTTTGGACAACTATTGCACAATGTTGCATAAATTTTACCTCTTGGGTGTGTCATCCTCTTTTTTATCAACATTGCGTAAATTTTACGTAAGCTTATTTAGAGTGTACTTATCTGTAAATAAGTTACGAAACATTTTACCAACATAAATTTGTTTTCCCCCGTTTTTCTTAGAGGCTAAGGTACAATTAAATAATTTGCTTTCGTTAGTTATAAATTATCCAATTAAATCAATTAATTCATTCGCAAATTCGAGGTGTAAAAGGAAAACTTCTGACTAATAATTACACGACATTCACACCAAGTTGACATCATTAAGCAAAATGAAAACAATTGTGAAAGAAAGCACATTAATGTAATTATGTAATTCATTCATATCTCAGTATAAATGTCAACACATTTTCCTCTTACAAATGAACACTATGGCACTAAACATTTAATCTAGTGCTTGCGACCTATTAAACTGTGTATTTCGTAAAAAAATTTTGTAAAATTTTATGTCATGGGTATCAACTAAGGAATTGGGTATTTTGGACTATATTTTTATGCCGATTTCCTTATACAGATGGGGAGCTCGCTCCGCTGGATACGAATTTGACCTTGGATAACCCCGGAAAGGTTTGTCGTAGCGGGTCAAAATTTTGAACAGACGAGCATGTTGTGCTCAACAAATTTTGTGCAAAAAACCAACCCTCTACTTTCAAAATTGCCTCCCCCACGGCCCCCAGAAGTTGAAACAGTCATTTCAACTTGTTCCAGAAAAAATCTTTAACGTCGTTGCAAAAATTTTATTTGAAATTTCTGTTGAGGAATAGTGAGTTATTGGTGACAATCGACGAAGCACTATTTTTCCTACAAGTTACTAATTGGGTTCGAAGAGCTTACTACACGATAAATGCCGAAAAAAAATTCACGAAATTTGGTGCTTCCCCATGAGGAGAACTTTTTTAAACAGTTTTTGTGGTTGTGGGCGCAATGTCGGGTCGTGGTGTCCTCCCACTTATCAACTTCCCCCAAAAAGTGAAGGAATCTTCGAAGTATTATGTAGACCGTGTATTGAAACCACTTTTAGAGCAACATTTTCCTAAATTGTGTGGTAAAAAAATAAATAAGGTGATTTTTCATGATCACGCAACGTCTTCCCAGACGGCAAAGTTCACCCAAGATAATGCAAAAGACCTTGAAGATAAATTAGGGATAAAAATCATTTCGAATAGTGAAATACCTGTACAATCTCCCGATGTAAGTCAAATGGACTTCTTTGGGGTTGGATACTTGAAAAGAAAAAATTTTCTGCGCAAACCAAATTTTAAAACGGAGTTTGCAAAGAGTTAAAACGAGTGTCTCAACTTCTAGGGGCTGTGGGGGAGGTAATTTTTAAAGTAGAGAGTTGAATTTTTGAACACACATATTTGAGGATAACATGCTCCTCTATTCAAAATTTTGACTCGCTACGCCAAACCGTTCCGGGGTTATTCAAGGTCAAATTCGTATCCAGCGGGGCGAGCTCCCCCTGTATACTAATCTCTGCAAATTCGCGCAAATGTTGGGATTTATTTACATGCATCTATGTACATAACTACATATCTATGTGTAAATAAATGCCATAATATCGCAGTGGTATATTAGTTTGAGGGATTTACTCAATTTCAACTTTTCGTTAAATTTTTTTATTGACCAAACTTGCAATTTTGTTCGCCATAGTTTTCCCCCAATTTAAATTTTCTTATCACGAAATACTGAATTATTTAGGCATCAATGTTCCCACTTCCCATAATAAAACGGACCTCAAGTTAATTAACTTGTCGAGGGTTGTGCAACTTAATGAATTTGACGAAAGTGAAAGTATGCATGTATGTACATATGTACATAAGTACCGTTTTAAATGTATACGCTTCACATAGCGTGTCCAAAATTTGCTATTTTCATTGTAATTAATATCTTTGTCAAAAATTGCATTGGCTTTAATATCTTTTCTAATGTAACAATCCAAATTTCTATGACATAGAAATATTTCAATTCGAAGGTTCGCGTCCGTAACTATTAAATGCTCTTAAACAAATAGGAACAAAAAATTTGAGATTACCTCCCTCCGCAATCTGTCAATATTAATGTCCCCGGATGTCCCCAAGGTTTCTGCTGCCACTGAAAATAAAAAGATACCCTTGATCTGAACAAGTTTACAAAGATTCATAGTCTAATATTCTTTGTAAATATTTGTAAAATTTTATCAAAGTTTATAGAGTTTACCGATTTTACAAAGTTACCAAGGACTGCATGAATTGCATCAATGTAACTGTGTCAAGTCTACCCTATGCGTTTCATATGTCTCAACAACGTCTTTACCGACTATTTAAGGAAAAATATCTCAAGGTTGCACCATGTGCGTATGCACAAGGCCAATATTTACTAGCCATGTTTAACGATAAGCGCGATATATGTCAGCACTACATGCTCCAAATTAAAGTTTTTAGTATGATTTAATATCACTTTGTATGTACACCTTGCCCTTTGTACATATATGCAAACACTATTTAGCAAAAAATTGCAGATTGAAATTTGAAAAATTTAAAAACAATGACTAACGAAAACTCATTGCAGTTTTCCAATCACAATTCAATTGTTCAAGGTTACCCCAAAATGCAGTAATCCTGCTTCAAAATTGTGACGCAAGCACATATTTTTTCGACATTTCTCAGGAGTAACGATGATATTGCATTGGTGCAATGGTATACTGTTACCCGCAGTGGTAACAGAAATTTCGGCATTAAGGATTGCTAAAATTGAAATATTTGAACTTTAATTTAATTTCATAAACTACAACCGTAAAGTGGAAGATTTGTTATGGGAGAAGAATACGTATGTCCTAAGTACTTACCTATGTAAGTATGTAAATACATGTGTGTACTATGTACATATTCACTCGAATGCTTGCAATCTACGTAGTGAATACATAAATTGTGTCCATCTTGTAAAAATTATGTGCATAAACTTTGCACTTTGCCGTTTGTATATGCAAACAGATGTATTGAACTAGCAGATTGAAATTTGAAAAATTTAAAAACAGCGACTAGCGATGCATGTTTCAAGTTACCATACAATTGTTCAAGGTTACCCCAAAATGCAATAATCCTGGCTCAAAATTGTAACGCAACCATATATTTTGACTATTTCCCAGAATTAGCGAAGACCCTGCGCACTGCCACAACCCGCAGGTGTTATTGGTACATATCCGAAGTTTTGACATAAAGTCTTGCTAAAATTTAAATAGCTAATTCAACTTTAATTTAATTTCATACATAGACTAAATAAAACCTTACTTAAGGTGGAAGATTTGGAAGAAGAAGAAGCACGTTCTGCATTCACTCGAACTCGAATCCCTTTTTTTAAATCATAATTTTTGTATGAAACAAGTTTATGCAAAAATTATAATCAATGTCCCCTAGTTTCAAGTTTACAGGGTATATGTAAGTTCGCGAAGATTATATGCAAAATATGTACAATCCTTCTTTTTCTAATTTTTTTATCTTTTTGTATTACGAAATGTTATTTGAAATAAAATCCCCTAATATTTTTTGACTCCCCTGTTTGGGAGTCGAGAAGTTTGGGAGTGAATGAATGTCATGTGTTAACATTATTTTACCAAAACATTTTGAATAAGAGAATGAGAAGTAATTTCACGGTTTGTAACAGACAGACCAAAGATTATACCAAGCAAGACTTATGGCTACATACTAATATTAAATAGATACATATTTCCCAACATATTTACATATTCCTGTGTGCATACACTGTACATAAAATTGGGCACAAAATTGATTCCATTGTATCCACAAGGACCAGCAT